AGGCGGGACGGGAGATCGAGGCGAACCTGCGTGAATTTGAACTGCCCAGTTCGCCCAAGTCGGGCATCACGTGCACCGACACCGCCAACGACCACGACGTATTTCGATTCACCGACGACAACGACAGCGTCGAACCGTCCACGCCATCGTCCACCGCCATCACCGACAAGGTCAAGGAGAAGAAGAAGAAGAGGAAAAAATCGAAGGAGGAACGAAGTCGGAAGGATTACCATCACCACCACCATCACCATCATCATCACCATCACGAGAAAAGCGGCGGCGGCGGCGGCGACGACGAGTTACCGTATCTGGGGATGATGGCAGATCCCAGTCCTCCGAGAGCCAGTAGCCCGTTGATCTCAAAGACGATGTCGTCGCCTACTCTACCTACGCCGAGGGACGTTCTGCTCAGTCCCATTCCCAAGGTGTCGTCCAACAGCAGCAGCAGCTACGCGGCGCCAACGACCACCACCATGACGACGATGACCGCGTTGTCGTCGGTACCACCACCACCACCACCGCCACCATCACTACCACCACCACCACCGACGACGGTGGCGGCCAGCAGCTCCGTCGGGAGCAACGGCTCCTCCAGTGGAGGCGGCAGCAACGTCGTCGTCCAGTCGGCCTCGAAACCAGAGAGGAAGAAGAAGGATAGCAACAACAAGTTCATCCCGGGTTTCGGCATCGAGATCGACGAGACCATCCACGAGAACGCGGTGAAGAGCATCTCGGAGCCGGAGGAGCGCGAGAGCGGCAACGGCGGCCGAGACGAGCCAGCGGAGGTGGTGGCGATCGCGTCGACGACGCCGCCCGCTCATACCGAGGACAAGCCGCGAGTGGCGATCTCTCAGGAGGAGACGGAAGACGCGGTGGCCGCCCTGCTGGAGGAAACGTTCGGCGGCTCGACCGAGGACTTTTCGTACGAGGGTGAGGAGGAGGACGTCGAGGCAGAGGACGCTGTCGGAGCGCCAGCCGAGGCGCCTCAGGAGGAGGACGACGTCGAGGAGATGCAGCAAGCGGTGGAGAGCCTGAACGCCTCGACCGGCGACATCGCCGAGACGGACATCAAACCACCGGACACGCCTCAGAGCGAGCACGACCTGCAGATCGACACCGACACCGAGGAGGATCCGAATTACGAAACTTTCGACCTGAGCCAACCACCGAAAACCCCGGACATTCCGTCGTTCTACAAATCACCGACCAAGACTCCGACCACCGCCGCCGTCGCCGTCGCCGTCGCCGTTACTACGGTGGCTAGCAGCGTAACCGAGAAGGCGATCGAGGCGCGCAGATCGTCGTCCGTACCCGGCGCAAAGTCGCCGACCAGTCCACCGACCTCCGTCATCGCTCACTCGTGGAACTTGAACGAGAATCTGAAGCGGGAGATGCTCAAAACTGTGCAAACGGTTGTCGAGAACGTCGACGAGGAGATGACCGAGGAGACGAACAACAACCCGCAAGCGCGTCGCGCCTCCACCACCACCACCACCACCACTACCACCTCGCCGCCTTCGCAGTACAAACAGCCGGTGTCCTTGGGTCCGTGCAGCGTGCCGATCACCAGCGAAACGCCTAGAATAGCCGCGATCAGTCCCAGGCCACCACCTCCGTCATCAGCACCGTCCACGCCAATGCCAACAACAACGCCAATACCAACACCAACACCCACACC